TCTAACCGTGTGGATTTTTTGGAAAGAGTCTTAATTAACATGCATGGAAGTGAATTACTAATGTTGTCAAGTGTAAAGTTACTGAATCTATAATGGTACAAATCCCATCCCACCTGCCTGGCAAGCATGCAGCAGGATATAGGGCAGTCATGTTTGGCTTGGGACTAAAGCTGCTACACATTTGCCATCTGTGTCAAGTGAGGGCTGGCTAAGGCACAACTTCCCAGATGACCATCTCACACGAATGTTTCATGTATTAACCTGGCCCTCTCCATACAACTCACTGCAGCTTCACTATTATTATCTTCACATATTTCAGCCAAAGAGTTGCAGCAAATTTATCAGTTAGCAAAGGAAATTGTTTATTTTTACATCAACTTTCTGAGTGTTCACCACACTAAATGTATGGATTTCCTGAGTTCGTTGTATCTGGTTATTTTCCTATAGTTTCTGAATCACATTCAATCGTCTAATGCTGCCCAGTCAGTGTGGGCTGAAATGTTAGGGACGTCTCTATGACAAAGGACCACGAAAGGTGCCCTGGTCAATCTCCCTCGTTCAGTTGACCCTCCCCATCCGTGTGGTAGATGAACAGGAGGAGTGTGCTGTGCCTCCTAACTCATCATGTCGGGTGTTGGGGGAGAATGTTTAACATGCTCACCATTTACAGATTCTGATCATCTTCATCTTTAATGGTTCCAAATGGCCGCTTATCTTTTGTAACAGTAATTCCAGCATATATGTCTATTTATTTATCTTAAGTTACTATTCACATACCTTATTCTACTGATCTTATCAATGTAGAGGTGTGAATGTATATATTGTATAGTGTCTGTGTGGTCTATGTATGCTGTGGCTGCCAACCCATTGGAGGGAGGTTGTGCTCTGAGACCATGTGTGTGTGTTTCAGGCATCTCAGAGGGAGGACAGCTACGAGGAGACCATCCGGGACCTGACACAGAGACTCAAGGACGTGAGTACCTGCCTCGCTTACACACCTATAACCTTTTTATGGCAAATTTTACAGAATGTAATCTAGAATTATTTTTTCTCAAAGAGAAAATAAAATAAATTTAAAAAGAAAATTGTAAATTCATTCTTTGTAATTTTGAAAACAAAACAAAACATGATTCTAATTTTATGCAAGTGAATGTAACAGGTGTTTGATAAATGTTTTCTTTTATACCCTTTCCATGGTGGTGGGACGTTGAATGTCACTTTGTGATTTAAATGAACCCCCAAACCTGCCCATATGAATACTGTTGGAGCTGGGATGAGTATGCCCCTGGAAAGTGAATGCAATAGATTGAGCCACATGCTTAGAAGCATTTGTCATCAGGTGTGGAAACCTTTGGGGATGGGCAAAGAACCCTTGTTGGGTAGTGTGTAAGCATAGTAATGAAGCAAGCACTCCCCATTCTCTTCTGCTAGGCTGAGAACCGGGCAACTGAGGCTGAAAGAACTGTTTCCAAATTGCAAAAGGAAGTCGACAGACTTGAAGGTATGGCTGCAGCCCTGCATCTTGCCCATCTAATAAGAACAAATGTTTGTCCCTCTACTAATCTATTGGTTTCAGCATGCTGGCCTGTATACCATCATAGTATCATTTCATCGTGCCCCTCATAGCCTGTAGCAGACAGTGGACCAGCATATGCAAGGAATGGGTGGCGGATCTGGCTAGCCCTTGCTAGCAGCATGTGACAGCAGCAGAAAGTCATACCTGACATCTAACCTCCCAACTCCCCCAACTCCCCATCTACCCTCCAGGCCCTACAGCCAGGCTATCTTGGCAGCCTATACACACCTGGCTCACCAACAACTCACAGCACCGTCTAGTTCATTTTTTTTTTTTCATTTTTTTTTTTTACCATATCTTATTTTGCATGTGTTGATACTCTTGTTTTTGGCTGGTTTGATGTGACAGGCGGAAGCAACCTTGGAATTGACTGTGCGTGAGAATCAATCTCTTCAACATACGGTAGATGCAATGGAAGGTATGTCTCCTTCGTGGCCATCGCTTCCACTCTCGTACCTGCTCACTCAACATTCTAATAGAAAGGCATTGTTCACTGCCACAGTTGTAATCAGGCTAATACTTACTTACAAGTAACTCAGAGGTCATTCTAAAATATGCATAAGCGCTTCATCAGCTTTTCTTGTCCAAAATATTAGGAATGTTTAGTGCCATGTGTGAAAAGATCTTATTTTCTTTTCGATGGTTTAATTTGTGTCAAGCAGTTACCTTGGTGTGACACATGAATGTAGGACTAAATTCATTTATCCATTCACGTGTTGTGGCAATGTGAACTTGTGATTTTGACAATGTAATTGGTTGAAGAGCACATCAGTTCAGCTCGAGATTTTGTACTAGAGCTTGTACCCTTGAGAGGAGGCCTGTTAAGGATTGATCAACCCCTTCACTTTTCTTGAAATGTCTTCCTCACTTTTCTCTTACTTTGCTCTTCATCAGTAGTTGCTAATGGTAGCTAACCCTATGTTTTCCACCTGTCTCTCCTGATATCAGGTATGCCTTTCTCTCCAACACTTAAACCCCCCTCCCGTGACCGGAATGCTCATGACTCCATCAAAAGATAGACAAATCATGACAGTTTAATTCCAGTAACCCTTTGTATTCACATTGTAGTAATCACATTTACATACCATGTACATACAAATGTTTAATGTTTTGTTCCAGTGTTAGTGTCTAAATGAAGCATGGATGCTTGCAAGGTTTCTTGTTTTGATAGAACATGTTTCATTATTAAGATACTGATTACTACTTCCAATTATTATTTAGTATAGATAACCAAGACTGCATGGTTGTTTATTAGCTTTGACATCATGAAAACATTGAGAACTTGCTCCATGAAATGGTGTGATATTTGCATTTTTGTGACATCCTTTCAGTCTGAATAATTGATTTACAGTGTATGCTTTGAAGTTTGATAACCTGTGTGAAGTATTTTATTACCTTTATCATGGCACATTAGATTTCCACCAGACTTGTGACATTCATTTTCATGATGCTGAAAGTTGTATCATCTTCTAAAGACTGAGTTGCAATGTCCAGTGGAATTGCTAATTTCATGAGATTTACTAATGAAAATCTTTGTGTTTTGGTAAAAGGTGCTGATTATTTTTAATGTGAAGTAAATATATATTTTCTACTTTTGAGACTTTAAAGACATGTTAGATAGACATGTTTTAGAAAATGTACAAAACAAAAATCATCGGCACCCTTCAGTAAAGTCTGAAGTGAATACTTTCGAATTTAGAACTGGGGGATTGGAACATATTTAATTAGAATGTTCCAGCAAAAAGATTTCTTCACTTCATTTGAAATGAACAGAAAATACCTCGAGACCCTTTGTTAATTAACACAGAAAAGTGTCAGTAAGTGTGGAATTTGAAGTGAATTCTTGAGTCGTTAGTTGTGTGTTACACCCCTCTGAACAGTTTGTGGCAGGGGAGGTAGCTGAATCCTCCAGTTCTGACTAACCCCACCTGCGATTAGTCAACCATGCAAATGGTGGCTGTTTGTGCATGATGTGCATGTGTCTGTGTGTGTGTTACAGACGAGCTAGGTCAGCAGACGGAAAAATACCAGAGTCTGAAGCTGGAGATGCAGCAGACACTCGCCGACCTGCAGGACATGTACTGACACCCTCCATTATTTCCTCAAGTATTGCCATGTACCTCAAACCCACTCACCAACATACTGCTCCGTCTTTGTAATTTGTTTAGTGATAGAAAGCTACTATCTGTGGAAACTGAAGAATTGTCAGGAACTCCTCTTGAGGTGAAAGTAACAATGGCAGTGTAGACAAGGATATACTGGTCACTGTGACATCACACTCTATTGCCTCTCACTGATTCTTATTGTTTAGGTAACTCTTGTATCTTCAGTAAATAAGAAAGGATCTTGAGATATTATTCATATTTGGATGTGGATGTAACACTGAAGACAAAATATACATTCATGGTCATTTATATCTAATTAATGTGCTTGAAGAAGACATGAAATGTGGTCTCTCCATTACTACTAGTGCTATGTATTTGAGTAATTTTGGTAATTGATAATGGGTTTGAGGTGCAAATGATATAACTGAGTTTTGATTAAGTGAATGATAATTTGTGTTAAGCCATCATGAATGAAGCAGCATTTAAATGCATTGCATGAATTTGATGTGTTCAATTTATAGATTAAAAAACTAACCATCATAAAGGGGCAGCCCATGCCTTAAAATGATGCAAAACAGGGGTCCGGAAAATTTAAAATCCCAATCGGACATTAGCGTATTTTTTGTAAGACTTTTCACACACATTACAAGTTGTTACGTACAGTGTTCCCTCGTTATTGCGCGCTTTAGTTATATAGCACATGGTAAAGCATAGCTCCCAAAATTTACTAACATTTTTAATAAACTCAAGTTTTCCAATGACACAATGTTTTCCCCCATCTCAGAAAACATTATCACCTGATCACGTAACACCGGAAATACCAGTCAACAAATCCAAACTGAAGTACGCAATTTAATCCTATCATTATAATATCTGGTGATAAAAAAATTTGTTCATTGTTTATCTGGACTAGAGTTTGCAATATATTTGATTAATTTAATTCCATATTTCATTCAATAATTATCATGATGTTTACAATAATTTTGGCGAAATCTTGTGCATCATTGATCGGTAGATCGCAGAACTCACCGTTATTTACAGCAACAAGAAGTTGTATCATTGGGTACGTTTTAACTGAATCACCGGTAGATTGGGAGGAAACGTGTGCACAGCTGATTGCTATTTCCGGCTTAGTTTACGAGAGAATACACAAGGTAATCTTAATCACCGCATATAAAACAATGTCTTGGAGAGCAGGAAATACATTTTAAATTGTAAATCATCATAACTAGTGATGTTTTATGTCAAATTTCATACTTTTATTGACCAAGTTTGTTATACCTGTTTATTCACCTGAATTCGCTGAAGGGATACGATAATGCTCATCAATTATTTGGACCCTGAAGGTAGAGTTGCTTGTTTTTTAAAATGTCCAGACAGAAAAATTTAAATATCAGGTTAGCAATATTTTAAACTGGACATTTGAGATTCCCAATCGGACATGTCAGGGGCATATGACCCTTTCCGGACCCCTGATGCCAAGTAAAAGCGATTGCAATTACATTTAGCCACCATTTTGTAACTGTTTTTGTCTAAGATAAGAGGAAAGTATCTATCTTCTGCATAAATCTGATATACAGGCAAAGATGCTGACTAATGATCGTTAGAGAAGCCATGTGTCTTGTGATGTTGCAGAAGTTAAGTGTCTGAGAAGTGATGGTTATGAAGGTGTAATGTTGGACTAGTGATCATTGCAAGGGTTATGTGTGTAACAAGTGATGGTTATGAAGGTGTAATGTCGGACTAGTGATCATTACAAGGGTTATGTGTATTACAAGTGATGGTTATGAAGGTGTAATGTCGGACTAGTGATCATTATAAGGGTTATGTGTATAACAAGTGATGGTTATGAAGGTGTAATGTTGGACTAGTGATCATTACAAGGGTTATGTGTATTACAAGTGATGGTTATGAAGGTGTAATGTCGGACTAGTGATCATTGCAAGGGTTGTGTGTAACAAGTGATGGTTATGAAGGTGTAATGTCGGACTAGTGATCATTGCAAGGGTTATGTGTATAAAAAGTGATGGTTATGAAGGTGTAATGTCGGACTAGTGATCACTGCAAGGGTTATGTGTATAACAAGTGATGGTTATGAAGGTGTAATGTCGGACTAGTGATCATTGCAAGGGTTATGTGTGTAACAAGTGATGGTTATGAAGGGGTAATGTCGGACTAGTGGTCATTGCAAGGGTTATTTGTATAACAAGTGATGGTTATGAAGGTGTAATGTCGGACTAGTGATCATTGCAAGGGTTATGTGTATAACAAGTGATGGTTATGAAGGTGTAATGTCGGACTAGTGGTCATTGCAAGGGTTATGTGTATAACAAGTGATGGTTATGAAGGTGTAATGTCGGATTAGTGATAATTGCAAGGGTTATGTGTATAACAAGTGATGGTTATGAAGGTGTAATGTCGGATTAGTGATCATTGCAAGGGTTATGTGTATAACAAGTGATGGTTATGAAGGTGTAATGTCGGACTAGTGATCATTGCAAGGGTTATGTGTGTAACAAGTGATGGTTATGAAGGTGTAATGTCGGATTAGTGATTATTGCAAGGGTTATGTGTATAACAAGTGATGGTTATGAAGGTGTAATGTCGGACTAGTGATCATTGCAAGGGTTGTGTGTAACAAGTGATGGTTATGAAGGTGTAATGTTGGACTAGTGATCATTGCAAGGGTTATGTGTATAACAAGTGATGGTTATGAAGGGGTAATGTCGGATTAGTGATCATTGCAAGGGTTATATGTATAACAAGTGATGGTTATGAAGGTGTAATGTCGGACTGGTGATCATTGCAAGGGTTGTGTGTAACAAGTGATGGTTATGAAGGTGTAATGTCGGACTAGTGATCATTGCAAGGGTTGTGTGTAACAAGTGATGGTTATGAAGGTGTAATGTCGGACTAGTGATCATTGCAAGGGTTATGTGTGTAACAAGTGATGGTTATGAAGGTGTAATGTCGGACTAGTGATCATTGTAAGGGTTGTGTGTAACAAGTGATGGTTATGAAGGTGTAATGTCGGACTAGTGATCATTGCAAGGGTTGTGTGTAACAAGTGATGGTTATGAAGGTGTAATGTCGGACTAGTGATCATTGCAAGGGTTGTGTGTAACAAGTGATGGTTATGAAGGTGTAATGTCGGACTAGTGATCATTGCAAGGGTTATGTGTATAACAAGTGAGGCAGAGGCAAAGTGAGTGACTGGTCATACCGGTAGGTCAATTGTCTGACAAGTAATGGTAACAGACGCCAAATGACTGAATGGTTATGGTTCCTGAGGTCAAGTGACAGACATGTGATAATTCCTGAGGTGTCTATCTGATGGGTGACAGTTGTAGAAGTCCAGTTTGAGACCAATTGTTTTAAGATGTGACAGAACCATTTTGTTTCATTCAAGGTTTGGATTACCAGTATTATTTTGAGAGGGGCACTCGAATGGCTTGATCAGTAGTTTTCTTTTCTTGATCATTTTACGGGTGCTTCAGTTAATTTTCAATCATGCTGTAGAATAATTTGTTCAAGTTGAATGTGATTCAATCCCCTCATTCAAGTTAAGCACAGTACATACTATTGCCGACAGTTTGACAAACAAAATAGCATATAACTATGATGGAAAACCTATACCAACTTCCGCAACGCTCCTGAAATATTATTGCCTACTTTTTTTCAGATGAGCTGCTTGCCGAGAAGGAGAAGTACAAGGCCATTAGTGACGAGCTCGACCAGACTTTCGCGGAGTTGGCTGGTTATTAAAAGTGTTTTCTTCCCTCTATCAACCGGCCATATGGATTTTGTAGGCTATTCAAAAATTTGTCAATTTTTGGAATCATGTTGTAAAGTTATCTCTCGGTGCCTCTTCTCTTCTGCCTGTTATTTTGAGTGCGTGAAGCGAAAAAATGATGACCAACGTAAGACGTGTATACATATTTCTTGCTTTCACTTACACCTATCATGAATTGTACAGAGTTACTAGCATACATGTTGGGGCCCTGCCAAAGGTATTGGGGGGACATTATGGGAGATTTGCAGTTGTCTTGATACTTTGATTCATTTTTCGAATCACCCTCCTCCACTAGACCATGTTGACTGGGTATCTGCTCGAGCTGCCATGTATACACGACTAGCGCTAACCATCTAAGCAGAAGGGAAGGTAACTCAGAACTGCCAATGTCTGGATATGTCTGCACTGCATGTACTTCTACTATAGTGTCCCTATATATGTTTGGCGAGGCTTGTGTAAGTAGAAGTGGGACAATATGGACTTGAAATTTCGCCGCTGGTTAGGCTCTGAAGGCCACGTGATAGCAAGCTAGGTCTCCCAAGTCCAAAGATGAGAAGAATGTGGCGTGTGCTATCTCAAGACCATGTCTCATTCGACTACTGGCCACCGAGGGCTGCGACACAAACTTGTCAAATTTGTCTTGTACATTTAAGAAACAACCAAATCCACCATGTTTGATAGATACATTAGAGTAGTAAATTTGCATGCGATCAAAGATCACGAAAAAATTGTATATGTATTTATTTTGACCTAGATAAATTAATGATTTTCTTTATTTCCCGCAAATGCTCTTCTTTCCTGGGCTAGTATCTCTCAGCCATCTTCTAAGATCCAGATCTGCTGATAATGCAAATAATTTTCCATGCTGTATTGTAACTTTATTTCGTACAGAGTAAAATTGTGCATTTAATCCAAGAAATGTGTACTTATTGACTTGTCATAATGTATATTGAACTATCCTGAAAACAAAAGAAAATTTTGTACTTTGCTTGTAGTGGACTTCCACATAACACATACAACAATTGTATCAAGTTACACATAGAACCCTAGCCATGGCTTGCTGCATTTCCTGGGTATTGCCATTGTTTTTTAACAATAAAAAATCATCTACTTCCCACCAGGCGTCAGTGCTTTTTTTAAAACACTGGTATTCATTCTAAGGACTCTGTCTATTGTGACTTTGAGGCAGAAATCCCTTTTCTTTCTTAAACTACAAAGATCAGGTATATTACGTTTTTGTCCAATATAGTACCTCTATTGCTTTTCAAGTGGAATAGAAGTGTATTCTGACAATGAGGAATTTGCCTAAAATGGACCGGAATCTTTTGACGTTCATATTTTTTTTAACTTTCATTTACTGAAAGTAATTTTACAGTTTTACCTTTATAATCAGGATGAGCATTACAACTTCCAACAGTTATTTTGTATTCGTGATATTGTTTTTGGAAAAAGGAAATCTGGGTTTTCTTTCGATTTACTGGTCCAAATTGCTAGTGCTAAAGTGTCGTAACCGTGATGCGGAAGGAAATTAGATTGTAACCAGAACCCTTGGATTAATTACCTTTATGTAAAATCAAAGATTGTGTGGAGCTAAGCAGTATACCCAGCAAATAAATCCATAGGAATGGTTTTGTGGTTCTAAGACCCAGCAAGTTGTCACGGGTCGGGCGTTTCACTGTCACAACTCCATGTTGAAGATCTGTAATAATTGAAAAGGGGTCCAGACCAGTTCTGGTGAACAGAGACATGAAACCCTTTTCACGGTACTTGCACTTAAAGTGTTTTTGTCCTGAAGTACTAATGAAAGAAGGGTACCTTACAGTGGTCACTACCATTCCGTCATGTATAAAGCTTGGTGGAGGCCATTGTCTGGTTCCTTTACACTGGTATTTCAAAACTAAACGCGACGGATAAAACACGTTTAAGTGAACACATGACATGGAATAGGAGCACACGACAAGAATATAAACTTCGTAAAGTCAATGTGTGATCACCATTTGCGAAATATTCGGCAAATATTGACAGAATTAAAGATCGCACAAACTGATTTATTTACACTTTCATTTTATGGAAAATGAAGTGCATATTTCGCAAATTGTTTTCACGTGAAACGATGTTCTGGCGTTCTTTCTTTCAACACTGGCATGTTCTCCGAGAACAGGAGTGTTCTAAACAATAAAAAACGCGTGACGAGCAAAGTTTTTTTTTAAAGTGTCATGAGCGATACTACTATCATTTTCTAACTTTAGGGAGTAGCTTAGCCAGGTTGAACAAGAGACAAGTAAAATACAGATTTATTTGCAACATGTATATACATATATATAAAACAATGGTGTGCATACATCGACATCCCGGGAACTGAGCATAATCGTTGAAAGGCGAGAATAAGTCTTTACTACACAAGTATATATACAAGAAACGCTGTGTGCCAGGTCGGCACAGGCAGGCATTGTCCTAGCTAGGTTCGTGTTTAAAGACGCCAATAAGTGCCGGTAGACCCCTGAATGTCTGATCGCTAAGCCTATTACAAGAGGGCGAACCTAGAGAACGGCACAGCCAGTGGGGGCCTACAGGAACTAAATAGTGTCTTGAAACAACTGGGGTCTGGATGGGGTGGACCCTCTTGGCTAAAGGTGAGACCTTATTTTTCTTCTCTGAACCAAGGCTTATATCCAAGGTCATCTGACACGGATTAAATCACAAACACCAGTAATAATGAGAAGTGGTATAGTTCCACATCTCGTTCAGGATGGCTGACAGTCACTGTTCAATACAATTGCGATGGTTAACATCTTATGAATAATCCCAGTTAAGTGATTCTAGACCTACATGCACAGGGTAAGTAACCTTTGGAATCAAGCGCTCTCTTGGACAAAGGTGGTCTCAAATCGGTGCTATGACACAACGCGCATAGCACCCATATCTGGCGGTGTTATTTTACAAGCCCACTATTATACATGTTGATTTCTTGCGCGTATAGAGAGCTCAGCGAACGGGCTATCACTGTGAGGAGCTTGTCGCCCGGCGAGACCTTGCTAAATGTTACAGTGCACAGAGTTCCCCTGTTACAATTTCTAGATCGCATTTGTGTCAATGCTTAAGTCTTTAGTTTCGCAATTTATAAAAGTATGTCAATCTTACATACTTAAAGAAAACCATAAAGGTTTCGCATCATTTTTTACATCTAAAATCGTGTGGGACGAGCGGTTTTAACAATTTTAAATTTTAACTATACACTAGTATTTTTTGACTTAACAAGGAAATACATGTGATGAAATATTTGGGTGGTATATTTAATATATTTCTAGCAAAAGTAATTGTATTTTGTTTCGTTTTTAATAAAATCTCTAGGCTTTCTGTACTATTGAAAGACAAATATTTGATAACAAGTGATTAAAAACTGTCTGTTGAACAATTGCATTCTTTGAAAACAGATGATAACGGCATATAGATGTATTCCATTTAATATATCAATTTATGTATTGAAAGTTATTGACAGCAAAGGTTAAGCACACATTTTCGTTTCGAAAAATCAATTAAAAAATGGGTTCCCATGCTTGTTCGGGTTTAAAATGTCAAAGAGTAGAATAGTTTGAACATCGTCCTAAATCTCTCCAATATATGTTTCGTACGGTTTTCAATATTTGCTCCGGAAACGAGGACTACCGCCATTTTCTGTTTAAGTCAAAGTCGTTGCCATGGAAACTGGAAAAATAATTATTCTAAAAATCCCAAACTATCAAAAGGCACCAGTTCACCACTAGACCTATCTATGTGCCACGTTAAACGAAGAAATATGGTACGGTTTTCAAGATCTGCTCCGGAAACGAGGACAACCGCCATTTTCAGTTTAAATCAAAGTCGTTGCCATGGAAACTCGAAAAATATTTATTTTTTTAAATCCCAAACTATCAAAAGGCACCAGTTCCAACACTAGACCTAACTGTGTGCCAAGTTTGGTTAAGATATCTCTCATGTTTTTTTGTTCTGCTTCGGAAACGAAATGTGACGGACGGACGGAAGGACGGACAGACAGCACCCATTCCTATATCTCTCTTCCACTTTGTGGCGGGGGATGATAAATGGTTAAATGAGTGAGTGAATTTATTCCACCAATATCACGGCGTGGGACACCAGAAATCAAACAATAGTTATCATTGTGTATAATTCAAAGAGTAATACCTCTGCTATATCATTGCCATAAATTCCTGTTTGGCTGTCAATCACACTATAAATTTTAATTTATAATTTCAACAGTCCTGTTCACTGCACACATATCCAATACAGTAGTTGTTAGGGTAAATCTATCCCTGACACTCGGCGCAACTGCGAATGCGCAAGGCGGGAAAACATCATTTCATTCCACCCATAACCTCATGTACCAGATG